TATGGCAATGGCTTGTAATACGGGCGGGCTCCAGCAGCAGGGCGGGACGGACGTGGCCGTGGACTTGTACCTGGCCGTCCGGCTGCTCTTCACCGTCCTGGCCCTCACCCTACTCTCCATCTTCGTGAGGCTGCGGGGAGCCGAGGGGGAGCGGCCCCGGGAGCCGGCGGCAGCCGAACCGGCCCGGGAGAGCGGCCCCGGGGACCAAGCGGCCGCGGGAGCGGGGCCGGAGGCCGCGAGGGGACGGCTGCCGGTGGGGGAGGTCGGGGCGGTCGAGGAGCGGAAGGAGGCGGCTGCTGAGCAGCGGGAGCCGAGTCCCGCGGCCGAGCCCAGACCTGCGACGGCCGAGAGCATTTCCCGGAAGCCGCCCGCCGAGCCCCAGGAGGACGCAGGAGACCACGCAGCATTTCCCAGCAAGGCAGAGAAGGAAGAGCTGGGCTCAGGAAAAGAGAAGCTGGCGGTGGGAGAGCCGGCAAGCACAGCAGCTACACAAGCCCCAGTGACAAGTACAGCAGCATCGTTTGAGAGTTCTGAAGGTTTTGAATGGCCTTTGGGTACCCTTGGGACCTGCGTGCTGATTGTGATGGGGATCAGCATGTTGGCACACATACAGAGTGTGTTCTACCCACAACCATTTTGTCTGATCTCAAAAGTTAAGCAGAGTCAGGTTTGGGTCTTGTCTGGGGTTAGACGACAATATAGGGGGACCAAGAGGTTTTCCCCAAAGCTGGACAGTCATGAGTGGCAGGGTGTGTGGGACAGTATGGGCAAGTATCTAGTCCACTGGGCCCCTCCAGTGCTTTGGAAGCATCGGAGATGGAAGGCAGCTGTATGGAGTCCCCAGCAACAAGCTGCAGAAACTGCTGAAGGGGACAGTGAATTATTTTAAGCCTGGTGGGCCCATGGCACTTCAGGCCATCAGAGCAGAGATGCAACATAGAGATGGACTCATGATCGAGGGGTGGACTTAGCAATGGACACTATTGCCCAGGTTATTCACGAGTGTGAACACTGCACACAGCCTCTCCTGCTCTGACTGTTACAAGAGATGGAGCCTGGCATCATGGACCAGATGGACGCAGCAGCTTTATAGGGACTGGTCCATGCACTAAGATAAGAGTATATTGAAAATGTGGGATCTGAGCATGACGTGAATGGTATGGAATAAGGGGTGGATAATGTCCTGGGTTCAGCAGTAGCAGTCATTTTTCTCCTTCTTGGTAGCTGGTGCAGTGCAGTGTTTTGACTTTCGGCCTGGGAACAGCGCTGATAGCAATGTTTTGGTTTGGCCAAGGACTTTGTGAGCCTCATGCTCTGCCAGGGAGGAGGGGAAGCCAGGAGGAAGCAGAGACAGGACACCTGACCCAAACTGACTAAAGAGGTATTCCATACCACACAGCATGTCATGCCCAGGATGTAACTGGGAGTTAGCTGGAAGGGCTGGGAGACTGCAGGGCTGGAGGAGGTATCGGTTGGTGCTTGGTCGGGCTTGGGGGGCGAGTTATCGGTCGGCTGGTGCTGAGGTATTGTATTCTCTTCCCTTGTTATTCCCTTTATCGTTGTTATTATTGGTGGTAGCAGTAGTGATTTGTATTATACCTTAGTTACTAAACTGTTCTTATCTCAACCTGTGGGAGTTGCATTCTTTTCGATTCTCCTCTCTGTCCCTCCGGGAGCAGGGGGAGGTCAAGAAAGGGGGGGAAGTGAGCGAACGAATTACCTGACTGGGTTTAAACCGCAACAAAGTATAAAATGGCATATTATGGTGGGGGAAGATTGGCTGGAGAAAATGACTGTAAAGTACTCTGTTTTTCAGACTAGGGTGGGATAGGTTGGGGTGGAAACAATTTTTCAAAATGTTTCTAATTTTTCCCTTTGTCCTGCTTAAAAAGAAAAATTATAAGGAAGCTAAAGAGAAAGGGAGGATTTTCCTAGGGAAACACTGCTTTTTTATTTCAAAATAATATTTACTTTCCAAAGGCTGAGAATTGCACATGGTTTAGAGGTGTTTCCTACCTCCCAGAATGTTTGACCAACACTGAGAATATTGTTTCTGGGTTGTTTTGTTTTTTTGTGTTTCGCTGCATTGATTAGAAGAGCAAAGAAAAGTGTTTTCCTTGAAATGCTCTGACACAGAGCAGTGCGGGGAACCACAGCAGGACTTAGTTGCTTTGCTTTTCTAAAGAAAAGTCTTTCTTTTTTTTTATTTATTTTTTCTGAACAGGGAGTTGATGCAAGCAAAAACAGCTTCTGCTGGTGGGAAAGATTTCTTGATTGTTTTTCTGCCTTTTCGTCCTACAGAATGTGACCTTCCTGCTCTTACCATCGAACTAAAAGCCAGGACCCTCTCCTGTCACTGTTTCCCTTGCTTTTAAGATATTCACTAGAGATTGTAAAATTCAGTTTGTAGAGCTCCCAAAAATCTTTGCAGTGATCTTCATTTTGCCTTTGAGCCATCCTTCATGCCTTTGGCATATGTTGTCTTTGCAGGCTTGCATATGTTATTTATCACTCTGGGAATACCCTTATGTACAACAGAGACAGACTCTAGGTGGACATAATTGTTTGACTCCAGCTGCAGTGGAGCGATGCAGAGCTGCTGTCTTTAGGAAACAGCACCTTACTGTCTTTGGGTGGAGGGGGGGATATGTTCTGAGCTATGGCTCCTTTGGTACCCCTATCAGACAATGAACAAAATTTACTATGGATTTGTGAAACCTATTGCTCTTGTGTTGTTTTTTTTGCACACCAGGACTTTTTGCCTAAGGTCCAAGAATTAAATGTTTCTACTCAGTAGTTAATACTTGATAAGAGCTCTTTTAAATGATTCTGGAAACCAAATAGGCCAAAGGCTGCAGTCCATCCAGAAATGACTCAGTATGTCACTTAGAAATTACTTTGCAGGTGCAAAATCCTCACAGGATCAATGTTGTGTGGTGGCTGAGGAGAAAATAGAACTGAGTTATGAACACCAGGATTCAGCTATAAAATGAATTAGTCTAAACCACTGCACAGTATTCAATCTTGGTTATTGAGAAGTGCTGTATAAACAAGGCAAATCCATTTTTATTTTGGCAAAATATCTTTTTTTTTTCCTCTTCTGTATGGAGGACTTTGACACACAGTACTTCTCCCCATGCAGATGCATTTTTAGCTGACAGCTCCACTCTGATCTGTTCCTAGTAGACTTCACCCTCTGGTTCTTATTTGGGTTGTATGCATGGCATAGGCAATCTAAAAAAGATGGAGACATCATCATAGCTGATGTAATGTTGAGTGGTGGAATAAAGGGGGTTTAGTCTTTCCACCTCAACTGTGATTTTGGGGAATCAAGAAGGTAATTAACTTCTACTTGCTCCCCCTTGAGACAAGGTGGAGAAAGAGCAAAATCTGTAACCCCTTCCTGCAGTCCCAGGAGCTGGTGAGGTGTGCAAGAGGTAGAAAGTCTGCTTCAGGACCAGGTAATAATGTCAATATTACATGACTGGATGCATCTGTGGAATCAGTTTGACAATTCCTTCCTTGCTCTTTTTCTGGGGTAATGCAGAGACTTGCATTCTCCTTATTCATAGTGGCTTTCAGCTCAGTTCATCACCACATGGAATGATAAAAAAAGTGATGATATGCAGAAATCTTTAGCATCCAAATCACTTTTTTTGAAAGTAAACTCTGTTGATGTCTCCTCAAGGAAAACAGGTATTTTGAGGAGAATAATGTGCTGGGAATTTTTTTCAGAATGCTGTTTGATCCTTCACCCAATTCTCCATAGACATTTATGAGTGTGCACTCCCAGGCCAGAAAGCCAACCATATACTGCATCAAAAGAAGTGTGACCAGCAGGTCGAAGGAGGTGATCCGGACTCTCTGCTCTGCTCTCGTGAGACCTCACTTGGAGTATTGTGTGCAGTTCTGGTGTCCTCAGCATAAAAAAAGACATGGAACTGTGGAGCAAACCCAGAGGAGACCACGAGGACGATCAGGGGCTTGAGTATGAAGACAGGCTGAGAAAGTTGAGGCTGTTCAGCCTGGAGAAGGGTAGGCTGCGTGGAGACCCCATAGCAGCTTTCCAGTAAGGGAAGGGAGCCTACAAGGATGCTGGAGAAGGACTCTTCAATAAGGACTGTAGTGATAGGACAAGGGGTAATAGATTTGAACTTAGATAGGAGAAGTTCAGGTTAGATATAAGGATTGAAGTTCTTTACTGTGAGGGTGGTGAGGCACTGGAATGGGTTGCCCACAGAAGTTGTGAATGCTCCATCCCTGGCAGTGCTCAAGGCCAGGTTGGACAGAGCCTTGGGTGACATGGTTTAGTGTGAGGTGTCCCTGCCCATGGCAGGGGGGTTGGACCTGCATGATCTTGAGGTCCTTTCCAACCCTAATTATCCTATGATTTTAGTCGGATTGTGCCTGCAAGAAATCTCTTGTGTCAAAGGCTGATTTTCCTTCCTCAGAACTGTTGCTGTCATTTCACAGAGAATAGGAAACTTTTAAAATCTGTATGACTTTGATAAACCGATTATCAGGTGGAAGGATTCCATTTTTTCATTTTGGTGTTTCCTGGGTTTATGATGTTTCAAGAGCCACCATGTTCTTACCAAAGCTACTGTAGTGAACAGAGCTCTGTTTTAACCATGGAATGTATTAGGAATAAACAGCCCTTTACTGATATTCTAGATAGCAGACCAATTATTCTTTTTAAACTCAAGACTGCAATTTTAGTCAAGAAGAAAACAATAGGTAGCTTTTCTTGTCACAGAAAAATAATTGCAAAGTGTATATGTATTTATATTATGGTATGTTCTGTAAAAAGTACAATTAATTGGCAAAATGCTTAGTTTTTTCTTGCACTTTGTGTATGCATAATTCCTATTATCCAGTAATTGATATATACTTATATTTGATAGAGCTAATTCCCAATGAAAGTAATATATTTTTTATTGGACTTTCAGGTGTTTGTTTTTTTTAATAAGATACATTTATTTAGCATGTGTCACCAACAGGTCTGACTAATCAAGTCATTCCTCACCGATGAACTTCCAGATCACTTCTGAAATTGATGAAAATGGAACTTGAATAACTGAGAAGGAAGAAGCTATGAGAGTACCGAAGTCATTATCAGCTCAGAGGATATCCACAGCTCTGCTCAGAAAAAGGCAGCAGGTATTAACAACAGTCTTATTCACCAAATAGTTCCAGCTTTCTTTGAGCTTTATTAAGGGGAATTACTGTTTCTACTACGTCTTCTCACCACTGCTTGAGGTACCTGTAATTCTCTATAGTACTCACTACACCTACTTCATTTTTTTTCCTGAAGCATAGGTACAAAAGCAATCCTGGCAGCCATACTGGTTCTCATTAACAGCTTTTTATTTTCCCTATAACAGCAAAATTTTCCATGCTGGAATGAAGATTTGAATGCATGGATAGTTCATAAAGCAGTACTAATTCTGACTTTCCTGGCCAAATGCAAGATAACATTTGAGAAACTGGATTAACCTTTCTGTGTCACTCACAGATCCACAGTGCTTATAGCAGGGAACAATTAATAATCTGGTATCAGTCAGCATGCTTAAATCAACAGATAGGATTTTGGCAAGGCTATAGGTCTGACATATCACTACCTGGTCTAATTTAGCCAGTAAGCTGTATTCCTTTTTTGGAAATGCTGTTCATGGGAGACACAGACAGAAATTAGAATTAAAAAGCAAAGGCTTTTCCTGAGCTTTGCTCATAATTTTTTTTTTTTTTAATTTTTGTCTCTTTGGATTTTTTTAACACTTAAAATGCTAGAAATTCATCATTTCCACATATAATGTTGTTTATGCAAGTGAATGAGATCAAAGTAATTGGAACAGGTATTTGTTTTAAAATTTGACATCCTCTTTTTTTGAGGTTGTTACCAAAAGCAGCCAGAAATATGAAAGCTAATGTGATTTGATTTTGAATCCTGAATCTTGAAATTTCAAGAACACGCTGCTTAAGCTGAATCTTATAGCCCTGTTGCTGTGGGTTCATGACTGAGGTTTTTGTCAAAAGGATTAAGGAGTCCAAGAGATTGGTGCTGACTTTTGTCTATCAAGATTTTTCCAATTGCAAAAAATTTTTGTGCTTTTCAGCAAGAAAATGGGTATTTGCGACATAATAAACTCTCATGGAAACATTTCAAAGAATTTGAAAGACGACTGCCCCAGCATGGGACAAGACCAAACTGATGTTTCTAAACTGACATCATTTGGGCTACCTGGAGTTTTTCATGAACTTCTCAACATCTTGGCTTTACTGATGACTCTTCTTTCGGAACTCTTTTTGTACCATTTTGCGTAAACTACTCTTGGGGAAGTGTCAGTGCAACAAATGAAATATAAGGCTGAATGAAAAACAGGCTGTATTAAATGCAGTAGATTTTGTTTATTAATTAATGAGCACCACAAAAAGAACTATAAAACAACCTGTGAAAGGTAAATGGATTTATGTTTGAGTCAGAAATATTTGAAAGACAGTTTACCCCAGTAGAGAAAGTCTCTTTTCTTAATATATAACTAATCCTTTCTAAAGTGCTGGAAGGACTTTTCATAAGAAGAGAAGAAAATTGCAGAGATTTGAATTGCAAATATTTGCTACAGTCATTGTTTACCCTAAATATATGTTAAGGTGTTTTCAGATTTTGACTGCTATTTATTTCCAGGTATGATATGTAAGCCTACTCCTTCCCTTCCAAAGTCTAAACAATGCAAAAAATGTTTGATTTTTTTTTTTTTTGGTGTTTTTTTTTTGTTGTTGTTGGGCTGCTTTTCTGTTTTTCTCCCCCCACAAAACTTTTATGCTCTGATGTCCTAAGCTATTGAGATCAGAAAACCCAAGGGATGTGGTTGCAGAAACTCAGTTATAAATTAGCTTACAGTAGCTAGGAGAAGACAAAACACTTTTTTTCAAAACTAATGATACTTTATTTGTTCTCACATATACATTTTTATCACAATTTACATTTCTTACACTTGTTCCAAGAATAAAACCTAATGTTCTGCTCCTGGATTTTTGGTTTTGCCAGTGGACTAGATATGGTTGATGTTTTCTTCTATCTGAACCCAGCAATTTCAGTTATGTTCAAGGGATATCATCTTTATTTTTGTGATAAACAAGATTGCTAATTTAATCAAGGCAACCAGACTTTGCTACAGGGGAGCTGAAGTGAGCTTGCTACATCCAGTTTTATTTTGTCAATGTCAATGGGCAATCATGAAATAAATGGGAGATTAATTTAATTAATCCCTTACAGGTGATTATGTTATTTTAGTTAGTACTATTCACAGCCCAGTTGTGTTCACTTAAATAACTAGTGATTGAGGCTTAATGGGCTGTTACACTGGAGAACAAGGTTCACGGGTGTAGGAGCTGGCATTCCAGAGGAGGAACAGGGATGTGGGTATTCAGCTCAGAATCTTCAGTCTTTGTCTTCACGAGTATTTTAAGTTGGAGCAGGAAGGTGTTTTGAGGAAGTGGCTGCTCTACCTTGATGCAGTATTAACCTTAGTGCCAGCAGGGACCAGCAGCAAATTCTAGTCCACCTAGATGCCAGTAACCACCAAATCTTACCAGGCTTAGATTACTAGGAGAGAGAATGGGGAGGTACCCATAGTTTTGTGAAGAGAAAGGTATGAGCAGTGATCTGGAAGCTGGAGAGCAGGTATGGGTTCATTCTACAAGCTGAATTTATGTGATGAGCCTGGTGCCAATGCATTTCCACTACTTGGCTATTTACACTTCGGTGACATGAAATCTTCATTTCCATACTAAAGTCCACAAGCCACTGAGATCATAACCAAAGAAAAAGTAAATATTTGTCAGCAATTTAAATATTTTCTCAGTGTTAATATCGGGAGTAGTAAAGGCTCTTTCATTTAGATGGCAATGTTAATCCAGCTTCCCAGCCCATACAGTAATTATATGTTTCTTATAACTGAGTCTATTACATAATTGCACTTAAATCATGAAGTTAAATACAAACCAGCTATTTAACCTATAACAAGGTGCAACTTAAAATAAATATTCCTGCTATTAAACAGGCAACAGTTATTCTCTGTATGAACAGTTTTATATGTAACTTTTTATGAAGACTTTAATATATTTAAAGACTGGGCTGGGCACAGCCTAGGGTGACATGGTCTAGTGTGAAGAATCCCTGCCCATGGCAGGGGGGCTGGAAGTAGATGATCTTAAGGTCTTTTCCAACCCTAACTATTCTATGATTCTGTATACCGATAAAATGTAATTTTAATGCATTACCGTTTCATTGTTATGCCCTTAATTTTTAGGGACTTTGACAATGGATGTGAATGTTAACTAAAGTCCTGTTTTCAGTGGCAGTACAGAAGATTTTGGACTCCTGCTACAGATTGTCTCTGCTCCTTTCAGAATACTTGTGCTAAACTTGAAGAAACTGTGCCCTAATCCAGTGAAAACAGAATGTCCTCAGCTGCTTTATGGATCTTTTAGCCCACAGCTAATTTTTCATTAAAGGTAGCCGTATAACTACCTCTCAGCATGCAGTGATTTTTCAGACCTTATTGACTTAAATTGGTATTTATTTAAGGGAGATGAAATCTACTGGTAATTTGTCTTCTGAATGTAATTGGTAATCTGCTGCTGTATACCAGCTATTGAGCTGAAATAGCTTTAGTTGTTATTTTATGTACTACCCTCAGTATCCCAATTAGATTGCTAACAGACTGGTGAAAATAACAGAAAAATTGTTCATAGTTGCTTAATCAGAGTAAAAGTCATCATATTTAAAACCAAATAAACAATTGGGGAATTATTAAATATTGTATTATCTAATTTTATCTAAAAGCATAACCTCATTTTTAGAGAGAAGGCATATAACAGATTCATTGTACCAGTATTACTTTATGAAACTATCTGAATGCACAACTGTAATTTCTCAGATAACAACATCACTGATATTTAGAGACACAATCACTGTCATTAGCAACATATTAGAAGAATTAAAACCCCTGGTGTGAGTCTCCTCTTTTATATAGTTACTTTGTATGTGCCAACATGTTAATATCTGAAGTGGTGTGGACTTAACTCTGTTACACTTGTGTTCTTAGAAATTTTAGTTTCATTACCTTAGTTGCAACTCAGTCTCTGATAGCCAGGGTTAATACTTTTCTTTGTTAAGTCAGCTACCAAGAATATTTTCTCCTTAAGTTTTTTAATCCTTTAGTACTTCAAATATATATGTGCAGTCACTGATAATGGAAAATGCTGATTTCTACCATGCATAAAAGCCAGACTGAAGCTTTTGCTTGACAAAGGGACATTGAGTTAAGGCAATTGGTGTTAACAGTCAAATATTAACAGTTAAGAGCATTCTCATTAGGTACTGAAAATGATTGACTTGAGATAGGGAACTACCATGTGTTTACTGGAATGTGTGAAGGTTTATTAACATTGGCACAGGGATGGTCCTATTTGTCTAGACATTTGCAAAATCTAGTGTGTCTGGACTGTGATTTGTGGGAACCTTTCCCCTTTGTAAACAGTATTTTGCTCTAAGTGATAGACATGGCCCTAACTACAGGCGAAATTGGCCTAGAGCATCAATTGGTTTTGACAGAAACCTGCTAATCGCAAACAACAGGGTAAAACTACTGCCTTTTTAATTCCCTTCGAGCTAGAGTTCTGGAATGAGGTTTTGGAAATCTGCTATCTCCTTTGTTCTTTATAAAACATTTCTGATACTACCATTTCAGTTTGTTTTTTTTTTTTTTTAGGACATCTGCAAGAAAAGGATGTGAATATGTGAGTGAAGAGCATTTCCTAAATTATTGCAGAATGCTTTGTGTCCTGGGTGTCCTGGGAACAGATGTTTCTAAATCTATCTCTTTCACAAAGTCATAAAATGGTTAATAAATACAGAATGCAGAAAATGTCCAGAACCCCTTGTTCTTTGCTGTTCATCTTCTTCCTTGCTTTAAGTTCTTTATGCATTCTCTCACTAGTCTGTATCTAAAAATGACTGCTTTCAAAACTTCTGTAAACAAAAGACTACAAACATATACTCTCACTTGCTATGTAGGTATTTAATGCTGTTACTCTCTTCTAAGTCAGACAATGGGACAAGTGCTTTCCAGCTTAAATATAGTATCCATGATTGATGAATGCATTGCCGGTGCCTCTTAAAGTCAAGTCATAATGTCATGGCAATTTTGTCACAAACCAGTGTGGCTCAGTTGTAAGAAAACCTTTGACTGTGGAAAGCTGCTGTGCAGGTTTAAACCAGGCTTGTACACAGCTTAAAGGGGATAGTCCAGTAATAAAGCAATGTAGTCATCATTCTAGGAGATGTGCCCCAAAACAGGACAATATCTCAAATAACAGGCTATGCTTGTTGCTTGCTTTCCACTTTGGAATCAGCATGGAGATATGTAGCAATACTAGTTTAGCTGTATTTAAATATACATACAGCAGAAAAACAAGAAGCAATTTTCCTGACATAAATGAAGTCCTTTCAGAGTTGTGGAATGCTTATTGCTCGTCTTACCTTTTGCTGCACTCAGGTGGAACAAAAAAAGATTTTACTAGGTACCCTATTGCATTAATTTGATAAACAGACAAACCTGAACAACACAGAAAAAAACCCAGCCCTTAGATGATTTAACAGATAAATCTCATTAACTGATAAGAATAGGCTATCTTATATTTTTCATAAGCTCCCAGAAACAGAAGTGGAAGCTGCTGCTGATTTGTGTTGGTTTTGTTTTGTTTCTGAAAAGATTATTTTTTTTTTTATGCAAATAAATAGAATTTTCTCTGAAACAAAAATCAGGTTTCAGGGAATTGGGTATTTTCTGCCAGATTCTACCTCCCTATAGAACTGGACCCCTTTTTTCATTAGAAGTGTTTTCAGTTGTTGTATTTCAACCAGCCCTACTCACCAGTTTTTCCATCATGCATAAGCAGGAGAGTGCTCCTGGGCCAGTGGGAGACTTTGGCAAGCTTTGGATAGGCCTTATGTCATGGCGAGTTTCTTTTGCTGTAACGAAAGCTGATAGTTAGGAAAGATCATCAGAGACTTTTTTTTTTTTTAAATGGCTACTTCATTACAGCATCCATTCTTTGAATGACACCTGGTAACACATTGTGCTTTTGCAATTTTGCTGTCAAAATGGATGGAAGCTTATGGATAGTATATCTTATGGAAATAGATTGCATAGCTCTCTGTAGAAGCAGTTAGTCAACAAAATGCACTCTGGCACTTGGTGTAGAGGCTATAATTATTTGACTGGTGGCCAGCCTAGGTAGCACTTGGGAGTCATAAATAGTATTTAGAGGTTGCTGTAAAAGCTTTTTAATTTGTTACACTGGAGTTCATTTACATTGTACACCATATGTCATGGCAAAAGCAACCTCTCTTTGTAGAACATTATGCACAACACAATATGTTATAAACACTACTTTTTAATGGCATCCAGAGTAGCTGTAGATAGCTCATCCAAAAGTCTGTTTAAAGATGAATCTTACATGGCTGGAAATCTGAGGTCACTTCATTTTGGTTAATGAAATGAGTCAAGATTTGCTCTGCATTTGAGATGAGAACATGGCCCACCAGCAGTTTAATCTCAATAATGTGAAGTCATTCATTACAGATTAATGCAGGAGTTGTTACTTTAATCAGAGTACACATCCTCTGGAAGCAAAGGAGAAAGTCTCTAGATGAACTTGAAGCCACTGCTGGGCAGCTGAATGAAACAAGAGAAATGTAACTCCAGCGATGTACTGGGGAGAGGTTACCAGCACATATAAGGTAATTAGCTGTTGTCCAAGGCTACGTGAATGTACTCTATAATTCTGTCACTGAAGTTCAAGAAGCTGAAATGGGGAGAAGGGCAAAGAAAGACTACCAAAGAACGGAGTGTATGTTTTCAGAAGATGAAAAGAGCTTAGATGGCTTAGCCTGCAAATTGAAGTCTGAGAGGAGATAGGATTATTCTAAATAAGTGCATAAGAGAGGATTAAACATGAGGGAGGAAGAAGAACTATATAAACTGAAGGACAATGATGGTAGGGGGAAAAAAAGTTTAGACACTGTACATTAGCAAACCTAGTCAGTTGAGTGACTCCTAACCCTTAGAGGAGTAATTTTCACCCACCCATCTGCATCATCTCAAGCTAATTAAGGAAAGAAAGAGGAGACTTCACTCTGGAAATTTGATCCTTTTTCTTTTTTAGGATCTTGCATTGTTTTTGTGACTTTTTTGTTTTCCCTTTCCCTTTCTGCTCAGTTATTTCTAAGCTTCTACTGGAAAAAAAAGAAACAAACAAGCAATCATTTCTTTTTTTTTTTTTTTTTTTTGATATAGTGGTGCAGGACCCCGGCTTGGTTGGGGATTACCGTAATGCTAATAAGCATTCTTCTTTGCTGTCAGTATATTTCTATGTATTTGTATTTGTCTTCATCTTTGTTATATTTTCTTAAGGCAACTTGAATTTCAGAATATTGGTAACATTCTAAAGCACTGAGGGTAGAAAGAGATATTGTTGTGGTTTGTTTTTTTTTTAAATAAGTATTTCTTTATCAGCATAATTCTGCTGTGGCCTTTGTTAGAGAGAGAATTATCCTGTTTGGGTCTGCCAAATCAGACATCAGAGATCTAAAACATAAAATTATGGCCAGTTTACATAGAATCTCACCCCTCCATGAGCTTTAGTGGTTTTGCGGTTCTTGTAAATGAATTGCAATTAGACTTGCGAAGCTTGTAGACATGCCTTATGAAACATGCAAACGTAAAACCTCTTTCTGAAGTCAACCTGCTTGGGTTTCAGTGCCTTTTACTTTGTGTTTTAGCCTTTCTGTCACTATTCAGCCTCAAATTTGAGTGTTTGCTGCATTCTTCTAATAGTGAGAATTGCCATTGTTGGCACTGGGCAGTATCTCCATGTGAATGGAACTGGAGAAGCTGTCTCCCTGCCACTAGCCTTACACGTCTCCATGCATATATGTCTTGCTGCCAAAACTCTTGCTATCTCTTGAGGTGAGGTGAAACCCCAAGAACTTTCTCTTACCAGGGCAGTGGGAATCACAGAAGTGTGCACCGCAGGCACAGGATGAGGCCCTGCTCAATAAAAGAGAGGGGAATGTGCAGATATGAGACAGTGACAGTAAACCCACTAAAGGACACATGCTTGCTATTCTACTGTCTCCTACATTCCATGAATCTTCCCCTTAGAGGCACTACCTTTCCAGAGCTGAATGGGAGGCAACAAAACAAAGGTTGTTTCTATCAGCCTTGGTGTATTCCTATGGCTAGAGGTGACTTTGCATATGACTTATCTTCTATTGAAGAGTGTATGTTACAGCCACTATAGCTTTGAGTTTGGATCTTTCTCAAAAAACATTTACTAGGTGGAAGAATGAGGAGTTATCCCATAATGCCTTGCAAAGACTGACAGTGCCTTCAAAGGTAGAAGTGGCTCTGATCATCCAGCTACATTAACTAACTTATGCTCGCAAAACTTCTCTCCCTGTAGAAAAGGCCTTTTTGTTTGAAATGTAAGGACTCCCTCCAGGGATGTGTGGTGCTTTTCTGCCAAGGCAGGGAAGTAATTAACTGCCATGATCTCTCACCCATGCTGTGCTTCTCACAACACTTTGAAAGAGCTTGTGGGATGCATATAACTTACCATGCTCATCCCATGTTAAACCCATCAAGTGCTAAATCCACTTTTCCAAGCTTGGGCCAGAGCCAGGGAAATGAGTCAGTGATGTGGAGCAGGTGTGGCTTCCTGATTTCATTAATTTAGATAATTGCAGGTCCTCTTCAACAGCATCAATCTCATCTGTGCCTTATGCGGTAAGTCCCTGGTTTATAAATCTGATTGCTGGGGCTGCTTGATGATCAGTTTCAAAAATTCTTCACTTTCCCTCACGCATGTTGACTCTGTCTGGCTGCCCACTCGACCAATCAAGTCCAATTTCTGTTTTAATGAGCTTTTGGAGATGTGATGAAGTTTGAATGCCAAGGGCTGGCAAGGAATTACAGTATTGCCCGTCTTTACTCTCTGATTCTTTCGTTCCCTGAAGCCTTTGTTGCTGCAGCACTGCAAGTGGGGTCAGCTCTGAAGAGATTTTGATTGTGTAAGGGGGAAACATGCAGTTTGTAAAAGTAAATAAATAATTACATGGGGAATATGAATGTTAGGTTGAATAAAAGTGGTAAAAAGAATGCTGTGGTTCTGATTTGGAAAAAGGAGACATATATTCAGGGGCTTACTTCTTTTAGACTGGGTTTACAGATTCTCAGATGGCTACCTCTGTTTTCATACAACACCTTTGTACCTTGTTTTTTCTAGCAACTTCAGCAGTCGTCAAAATGCAAAGACATGAAGACTTTTGATGGATTTTTTTTTTTTCTTTTTCCCCAAATACTAATAAAGTACTGAAAGTCTATGCTTACCCCAAGTATTCACATCTGTAAATAAAAATTCTGAGCTGGAAATCCCATAAAGTCAAGAGTTGAAATCTAGCTGTTGAAGTCAAAGGATTTGTGTATGCATAACCCAAATGTGTGTTTGCTTGTGTATGTAACATCAAACAGTGCAGAAAGAAAATATTACTTTATGTGAAATTTTTTGAAGTAGTGGTGTTTTTTTTCACCTTGGAACTCCAGACTGGCATACAAACACGTTCATTCTAACAGATTCATCATTTTTCACTGCCAGTGTTTAATTTTGGACTTCTTTCTTAGCCTTTGTATGGCTTTCAAATCTCCTTTGTGGCTTTTAGAGCATTTTTAGAAGTATGCCTGCATTATCTGTGTGTTTCGAATCAGGAAAATCTGTTACATAAATATAATTCCTAAGTTTATTTGGAGAAATTTAAGAATAACAATAAAGCCAATAGATATATGGAGCATTGTTTGTATCTTATTGAATTATTTCTTTCAGTCACTTTATTATTTATCTCTTTTAAGGGTATTGTATCATGCTGTAGCAATAACAGCCATTCTGGA